TGACTAATGCACAGATTTGATTAGTTTTGGGTAAAAATCCATGCATATAATTAACCTAATTTGCATAATGTGTGAAAAAAGCCTGTATTTTAAATGTTATATGGTCTGTATTGAATACAATAGAATTATACCCATCAACCATTAATTCAAACTACATGTTAACATCTCGTTATTATTCTATGATATTTCCATTCATTCATAAATATCACATCAATTTCACTTGTAGTCCCACTTGTAGAATGTATGATGTCATACAGCAGAAGTTAATGAGTAAATCAACCTTCTGATTCTTCATAAATAAATAATGTACTTTTGTTACCATTTCAGTTTCATGATCAGGGAACTCATCAAGTGCAACTGAATGTCCACAAACTTGTGGGAATTGATGTCACTGCGTAAACTCTTACGACACTTCAAATTTAGGCGAGGGTTCTCCGAACCCGCCTATTCACATAGTTCATACCCACCATAGACTCCGGTCAGTCAAAATGACTATTTTGAACTGTAGGCATTAATCAGCGATTCTGTCGGTGACGGAGAGATAGAATCTAGGTCAGGGGAAGCCCCATGACCTCAAGATTCTTTTACCCCTTACGTCACGAACCCACGTGACCGAGGCCACATGGCAACGCCATAGGTAGCCGTCCATCACTCTGGTTCCTTTATCTCCGCTTCGAGGACTTAGACCAATGCGACGGAAAGAGTGTGAATGTTGGGGGGGGAGGACTACGTTCAATTACCCACCATAGACTCCGGTCAGTCAAAATGACTATTTTGAACTGTAGGCAGAGTCAGACACTGATAGGTGGCGGGTTTTTCCGAGCAAACAGAAAAAAAATAATGATGAAAGTCTTTTCCCAGTCCAGGATGAAAACAAACTCAAAAAACCTAAGTTAAGACCCCAAGAAGGGTGGTGTCTTACCTTGCCTGTGCTGTCCCTGAAGCAAGAAACCAATGCTGCTGTGGTGACAGGGTTCGGTGCGCCCGAGAAAGCTAGAACCAAGCCGAATTCGGGGGTGATAAGCTAGAAGTAGGACCGAAACAGTTCGCATGAGGGCGTAGGTCGAAAGAAGCGAAACCTGGGAGCTTCCAGGGAGTGCTCGTGGTACAGACAATCTGCCCGCAAGAATGCCGAGACTGACTTATCGCCTATGTGCAGGGCCCCTGCGGTCGTACGGGCTGGGTCAGTAAACAAAGCCTGACCCGTTACGATGGGGCCTAACCTGAAGAGACCCTACTCAATAGATTGGGTGTCTCTTAGGTAGTAGTTGATGAAGACGTTCTGCGTTCTCCAGAAGCCTGCCCACAGAATGTGTTCGAGAGGGGTGCCTGAAGCTAGCGCTAATGAGTTAGCAATCACACGGACCTCATGTGCTCGTACTTGGTGTCTCTGCAAGGTCTGTGTTGAGGAGGGTAGTGTATTA